TTGCAACTGAGAGGCCGGCAAGTGAGGCGGTGAACGTTGGAGTCTGCAGCAAGCAAGCCTCCCTGCTCGCTTCAGTGCCTGGCTGCCGGCTGCCATCTTGGCTGACAGTTAATTTGCATATACTCACTGATTAGCCAATGAAAAGGGTAGCGGTCGTACGCTAATTACCATGTTTCTCTTTTATTAGTGTAGATAGTAAGGCTTCCAGGTGAGATTTATTGCTATAGTGAACCATTGTTGTTGTACTATCCAGGTGTATAGAAGTAAGAAACTACTGAAAATCTGATTATTTTTAATGTAATTTTATGAAAGTGATAAGAAATGAAACTGAGAGTTATAAAAATAGGACAGCAATATGAGATTAGAAGACACAAGGGTGGGGAAATAATGATTGAACTGTAGAGAATGCTTTATGGGCTGACGTTGATCCATTTATCCCACTTTTTGGGTCCCCCCTAACTGTACCTACAAGTCTACATATTTTCATTATGTCATGTATCTTATGTCATATTTTATAATGTCCACCTCTGAGAGCTTTTTTCTAAATAGCAGAAAAAGCCAACCTGTTTTTGTGTAAGGTTTCATTGCTTTTGTATTTTCTTTAACAACTTTTTTCATTATAAAGCATTTTAACTTTAAATTTAGTTTTCTGAGATTATATTTATAGCCTCTGCTTTATTTTTTATTTATATTTATTTAGGGTATTTGTTTAGAAATATGTGCTTAGAAATGTGCTAGGCATTAGGTATAAATGAGGAGCAGTCCTTAAGGCTTTTAGTATTTCATCTGAAGATAAATGGAAGTTTCCAAATAAATCTTCACTCTGGCAGCAGTGTGAAGAGTTATTTGGAAATGAGTATATTAGTTTTGTGTAGCTGTGTAACAGACTTAGCCACTTAATACAATTTTATTATCTGACAGTTTCCAAAATCCTGTCTGGGCACAGGTTAGGTGGGTACTCTGCTCAGGGTTTCACCAGGTTGAAGTCAAGATGTATGTCAGGGCTGTGTTCTCATCTGAGACTCAACATCTGCTTTCAAGTTCACAGGTTGTCGACAGGATTCAGTTTGTTGCAGTTGTAGGACTGAGACCCTGAATTTCTTGTTGGCTGTCAAGAGCCATTCTCAGCAGCTAGAGTCCTGTTCACAACATAGCAGTTTGCTTCTTCAACGCCAGCAGGAGAATTTCTAATGAAAGAAATCAGTTTCTTTTAAGAGTTTTCTCTGATTAAGTCAGTTCTATCCAGGATGATCTTCCTATGATTAAGTAAAAAAATAAAAAAATCAGCTGATTTGGGGCCATAATGAAATCTTTAAAATCTCTTCATCTTTGTCATATAATATATGACAGTTAGTGGAATGAAATCCATCATAGTTACAGTCCTGCTCACACTTAGGTTCTGTACGTGTGATATAGAACATGTACAGCAGGAGATGGGAATCTTGGGGATCATTTTAGGATTAGGAAACAAGGCAAGAGTGAATATAGAAAGATTAATTTGGAGGCTGTATTAGTACTGAGGAGAAAGGTGTTTGCTGCTTTGTCTAGAATGGTAAGATACTTGTAGGGACAAATCATTATAGTTAAAATGAAAGAAATTTAGATGGTGAAACCAACAGGATCTGTCAATGATTTGCTAAATGGGAGGCAAGGAGGAAGAAATAATGTCAAGGATGAATCCTAATTTTATGGTTCACACAACTATTAAGAATATTGGTATTATTCAGTGAGATAGGAAACACTAAATGAGATCTTGTTTGTGTGGGAAAATATTAATTGATATTGGGCTTATTGAGATTAAGCTGTGATAGGCAGGACTGCATTTCAAAAAATAGGGGCTGAAAGTATAATATTGGGAGTTGTGGGGTTAATAAGTATTGGTATACTTTGGTAAATCTGGATTCTATTTAACTACATTTTATGAAAATAGTATCTAACTCTAAACCATAAATAGGTGGGTCTTAGTTTTTAATTTAATATGAAGGTCAGTCTTTTAACTAAAAAATTAACCCATTTATATTTAATGGGTTGAAATAACCAATATTTTGTCTTCTTCTCTTTTTTTTTGTATCTTGCTTGTTTATTTAGATTTAAAATGTTTTACTTTTGCTGAATATGATCAGATTATCTTTATTCCCTTTTCTCCTCTGGGAAAAATAGAATGGCAATTCTTTCTAGATATTCTATTGTGATTTTATTAGTATTTTAAAGATACTTTGTTGATAACTTGCATAAGTATAGAATTCTAGGGACACATTCCTTTTACTCTGAGAACTTGTAAATATTTTCCAATTATTTTCAAGTTGATAATGTTAAAGATAGAGAATTTGATACCTGTCTTCTCTTTGGTAGTAGTTTTTAGGTAGCAGTAATATTTTTGGCTAGAACTTGAAGCTTTCTTTTTTTTTCAACTGAAATTCAGAAATTCAGTCATCATCTGTATGATATCTATTTTGCAAATATGTAAGCTGTAGCCTAAGAGTTTAAATAATTTGCCTAAGGTCACACAACTAGAATAAGTAGAGAATTTGGTATTGGAAGGTAGTCCAGCTATTAATCATTACTCTTTACTTCCTCTAAACTTCAGAACTGAATATAAATGTGTACCTGAATATACAATCTTCAAAGTAAGTCCCTAGGTGATAACTATATAAATAATTGTATTCTAAGTGCTAAGACTCAAGATTATCTAAGACATATGTTCCCCCCCCCCCCTTTAGGTTGTAGTACTTTTTTTTATTTTGAAAAAAATATGTTTTTATTGATTTTTTTTTTTTTTGAGAGAGAGAGGAGGGGACAGGGGTAGAGAAATAGAAGCATTGATGAGAGAGAAGCATCATCAATTGGTTGTCTCCTGTACACTCCATACTGGGGATGGAGCCCGCAACCTGGACTTGAACCAGTCACCTCTTGGTTCATGGGTTGATACTCAACCACTGAGCCACACTGGCTGGGTGGTTGTAGTACTTTTAAAATGTTGAATTTTCTTTAGTAGAATTTGTGTTTTAGAGCAATTTCAGATTTACAGAAAAATTGAGCAGTTAGTCTAGAGTTTCCATAAACTGGGGAAAGTTTGAAATGAGGGAAAAATAAATTGTATAACTCCGTAATGAAAGAATTGTTACTCTGTGTAGGGATGGAGAAATTCTAGAAGTTACTCTTGATGACAAGCTGAAGATAACCAGGAATGTAGCAGTAGTAATATTATGGTTATGTTTTAAGAATCTGACTGGGATTCTGCACATAATTGATGGCCTTTTTGCTAACAGATTTATTGCTTTGCTTGGAATACTCTTCCTCACTTTAGATGGCAAGGTTATTTGTTTGTAAACTTCCTGTTATACCTTCTTTACCAGGTGGAAAAAATGTGTGTGTATATATATACATACACACATACACATACATTAATTTTCAGTAAAACTATTTTGAACTGAATAACCTTCATTTTTCCTTATTTTTCAAGACAGTTTTAGCCTAGATTCTTTGAGTTGGACTAAATCAATGAATGTATATAGAAAACTTATAGCTTATTATAATTAGAAGTATTTATATTGAGAGAAAACTTAATTTTGAATTCATGCTAGTAAACTTTTTTTCTTTAATGAGAGCAAAACACACTTTGTTATAATATCTTAGTTAGATTATTGCTAATTTCACTTGTATTCGTAACCCTTTCTTTTTTTTTTCAGGCTGTGACAGTGAGGAATTCCATGGCTAAGTCTTTATATAGTGCCCTATTTGACTGGATAGTTTTTCGGATTAATCATGCACTTCTGAATAGTAAAGATTTGGAGCAAAATACCAAGGTAGACATACATAAATTATATATTTTTACTAGAAAACGGTTTTAATAAAATGGTTAACACATTAAATTTAAAAAGACAGAGTTATGTAAAAGTCATAAGTAAGAGTCATCTTTTATTTCTATTCCCTGCTGTTTTCTTTCTTATTTCTGTTTTTATTATCCTGTGTAGAGGTTTTAATCTGTGTCTTTTTTCTTATGTACTTACATTCCTATAAATGTGCATATAGAGTTGCTTTTAAACATAAAAATACAATTATGATATTGTCATTGTAAGAAATGTCCTAACCTGTTATGGATTTCTATGAGCTAATTTGAGCCAAACTGACGATATATACTGGAGAGCAGCAGGATCTCAAGTACTGCGGAGAATAATATTTTTTGCAGTTTCTTTTATGTATTTGAAATTAGGAGGGAACTTAGGAAGATTACCTAAACGTGGGAGGAGCCAACAGAATAGTTAAGATTATGTGCTCTCTTGAGAGTTAATACCACCTTCGAGGGTTATTGCTTCTGTTTTTTCAAAGGTGTGTTAACCTAGATGCACTGGAACAGTGGACATGGCTGGCTTAAAGCTTTTCACCAAAGAGGTTGTAGGCCTGGGACATGACTACCCACAATGAACTGCCTAGTTAGGAATTCATGAGAAGATCACCCTGTGAGGTTACTTCCCACAGAACCCCCCATTTTGTCCACATTATCTATATTGCGTCTATGTGTGTGTTTTTTTAAACCTAGCATGTCTTGAAATATAGCTATACCTCATTGTTTTATTTTTATTTTTTTAAATATATTTTTATTGATTTCAGAGAGGAAGGGAGAGGAAGAGAGAGATAGAAACATCAATGATGAGAGGGAATCATTGATTGGCTGCCTTCTGCATGCTGGACCGAGCCCACAACCCAGGCATGTGCCCTTGACCGAATTGAACCTGGGACCCTTCGGTCTGCAGACCGATGCTCTATCCACTGAACCAAACCAGCCAGGGCCTCATTGTTTTATTTTTATTGAATTTATTATGGTGACATTGGTTAATAAAATTATAAGGTTTCAGGTGTGCAATTCTATAATACATCCTGTGTATATTTATTCTGTTTACCACCACACATCAAGTCCCCTTCCATCACCATTTATCCCCCCCTTAAACCCTCTTTTACCTCCCCTATCCTCCTTTTTCTTTGGTAATCACCACAGTGTTGTCTGTGTCTATGAATTGTTGTTTTGTTTTGTTTTTTATTAATCCCTTCACCTTTTTCACCTGGCCCCTAAACCCCCCTCCCTCTGACAGTTTTCAGTCTGTTCTCTGTACCAATGTGTACCTCATTTTTATCAACTTTGTAATATATAGTTTGGATGTGTACCATAAATTCCCCCATTAAAAATATATTACATTTTTTATTGTTAAATAATAATGTAACAAATATTCTTTGCATACATTTCTCTAGGACAAAATCCTCAAAATGAATTGCTGGATTCAAAGATATATATGTTTAAAATTTTGGTAGATGCTGCTAAATTGCTTTTCAAAAAAATACTACACTTCCACCAGTAGTGCATAAAAGTGCTTATTTCCCTGCTACACCTTTAGTCACATTGGATATTCTCAGAATTTCCATTAGGCTAATCTGACAAGGAAGATAGTTCATTTTGTTGTCAATGTTTATGATAGATGAAAGTTGAGCATCTCATGTTTTCTCTGTTTTATTTCTTTTCTTTATTTCTTTATATATTTTTCCTATTTTTGTTGTTCATTTTATCTTTTTGTTATTCCTTTTTAGGAGTCATTGTGGATATTGCAGAGATTTATAGTTTGACGTACATTGCAAACATTTTCTCTTTACTTTAAAGATTTGTTTATGTTGTGTTTTTTGAAGTCCTTATGTTTTAAATTTTTGTACAGTTCTGTCATTCTTTTCTTTTATTGTCCTGGACTTTATTTATTTATTAATTTATTTTACATTGGAAGTCCTCTTCCAGCCCAAATTATAAAATATTTATTCTCATACATTTAGAATATAATTTTTTTATATTCAGACCTTTTTTCCAATTGGAATTTACTTTTAACATGGCAGATTTTTGATACTTAATTTTAATAACTTCTATTTCATTTCCTAACAACTTTTTTTAAAAATATATCTTATTGATTTTTTTTACAGAGAGGAAGGGAGAGGGATAGACAGAAACATCGATGAGAGAGAAACATCGATCAGCTGCCTCCTGCACACCCCCTACTGGGGATGTGCCCGCAACCAAGGTACATGCCCTTGACCGGAATCGAACCTGGGACCCTTGAGTCCGCAGGCCGACGCTCTATCCACTGAACCAAACTGGTTAGGGCAACTTTTATGGAATGAATAGTCTACCTTTTCAGGCTGATTAGAAATGTCATCTTTAATCCTCCTCTTCCTGGGGGAGATCAGGTGTGTTGTCTCTGTCCCTATAATGTACTGAGGCAGAAGGACAGGGCACCAGCCCCCTTGGGGTCATGTCTTTGGTGCTGGTGGCTTCCAGTCTGCAGGTTCTATCCTCAAGCTCTGGGACACAGGGAAAAGATAAAAGAAATGTCATCTTTATTACTTAATTTGATTATTTTAAATGTAAAATTGCTTTTATATGAACTTTTCATGCTTTATGTGAGCCCACAGAATATTAATTTTAAATGTAATCCAACTTACCAAATTAACTTATTTTTGAAGGTCATTATTTTCATAAGGGCTTAGAATTAGTCAACAGAATTAATCAAACAAAATACTTTCTTTTTTTTTAATATATATTTTATTGATTTTTTACAGAGAGGAAGGGAGAGGGACAGAGAGTTAGAAACATCGATCAGCTGCCTCCTGCACACCCCCTACTGGGGATGTGCCCGCAACCAAGGTACATGCCCTTGACCGGAATCAAACCTGGGACCCTTGAGTCTGCAGGCTGACGCTCTATCCACTGAGCCAAACTGGTTAGGGCCAAACAAAATACTTTCATTTTGGGGGTTTGAAGGGACAGTAGGAAGTAGATCTGAATTTTATTGATTTAGGTACTTATGGAAAACAAAATACTCTTTTTTTAAAAATTTTTTTAAAAATATATTTTATTGATTTTTTCAGAGAGGAAGGGAGAGGGATAGAGAGTTAGAAACATTGATGAGAGAGAAACATTGACTAGCTGCCTCCTGCACACCCCCTACTAGGGATGTGCCCGCAACCAAGGTACATGCCCTTGACTGGAATCAAACCTGGGACCTTTCAGTCTGCAGGCCAATGCTCTATCCACTGAGCCAAACTGGTTAGGGCAAACAAAATATTCTTAATGGAAACTTTAAAAATATCTCTCACTATCACTCATTACATCATTTTGCCTAGTATCACTCTTAGCACCAGTGGAGAAAAATTATTTTCATTTAACCAAAATTGTCATACAACTGTATTTCAAGAATGAGGTGGAGTGGTGAGAAGAATGTTGGTATGGGGGTATTAGAGTTAAATCCCTATCATCCATAGTAAGTAGTTAGAAGTTAATTTCTACAAGTGAAATATCAAGAAATAGAAAAATAAGCACTTGTATATTATACTATACTATACTATACTATACTATACTATACTATACGATTCCATACCAAACAGCTCAACAATTTGAGTGTTGTTGATATTAGGGTGCAGAAATTGAGGATGAAGAATATATTGTTTTTTTTTTTATAATCCTTTTAGAACTATTTAACATTATAATCCTTGTACAATGTTTTTTTTTTTAATCCTCACCCGAGGATATTTTTTCCATTGACTTTTAGAGAGAGTGGAAGGGAGAGGGAGAGACAGAGAGAAACATCGATTGGTTGCCTCCCGCCCCAGACTAGGGGCTGGGAGCCTGCAACCGAGGTATGTGCCCTTGACCGGAATCGAACCCGGGACCTTTCAGTCCGCAGGCCAACGCTCTATCCACTGAGCCAAACCGGCTAGGGCCACAATGTTTTTTGTTTTGTTTTTTATAAAAAATTTAAAAATTTTTAACTTCAAGAAACCACATATTCTGATAGTCAGTTTTATTTCTAGCTTGCACAAGGCTGATTAAACATCCTTGTTAGCTTGGTTTTTAAAGCAGGATTCTATTGGAATATGGAAGTCAAAGTAGGAAAAATTGCATGGCCCTCTTGGTATAAAAACAAGGCATAGCCAGTAGTGACCTAGTAGTACTTAAGTAACTTTTTGAATTCCCCATAGCCTGTTATTTCCATTCTCTTGTCTCTTGGAGTTGAGGAATTTCTGAGATTGAGATAACTGGCCAGTGTCCCTGCTTTGTACATTTCTGTATAATAATCAGTGGGTTACGTGTGTTAAAATTTTGGATTAAAAAAAATAATTAGGATGAAAAGAAAAAGATGAAACTAAAGAGAACTAAAATGCTTTTTATTTATGGTATAATTTGGTTCAACATTGGCCCCCAAAACCTACTCTCCAGTGCTGAAAAAGAACTTTGAGCATTTTGTTTCTTACTGTAAATATTATTTATGAAATAAATTTGAGCATCATTTTTTCAACCATAATTTTTTTCCTGCTTTGTAGACTTTGTCAATTGGTGTTCTTGATATTTTTGGCTTTGAAGATTATGAAAATAATAGCTTTGAACAGTTCTGCATTAATTTTGCTAATGAACGTTTACAACACTACTTTAATCAGCATATCTTTAAACTGGAGCAGGTGAGTACCTAAGTGCATGTATGTTTGCCCCCCCTGCCACTCCTTCATTCCTCACCTTCACATACACACATATAAATTTTTGATTCATAGTCATGATAAGCATTTAAAAAATATTTTTATCGATTTCAGAGAGGTAGGGAGAGAGAGAGAGAGAGAGAGATACCAAAGATGAGAAAGAATCATTGATTGGCTGCCTCCTATAGGCCCCACACTGGGGATGGAGCCTGCAACCTGGGGGTATGTACCCTGACTAGGAATCGAACTGTGACCTCCTGATTCATAGGTTAACACTCAACCACTGAGCCATGATGGCTGGGCCATGATAAGCATTTTAAGTCTTATATTTGCAATACAGATATTGAAGTCTTCATATTAATGTAAGCAAATGATATGTCAGACCATAGGTTTTTAGATATATCATACAGGGTTTTGTTGTTTTTTTAATAGGACCCAAGTAGATTCAGTACTATGCATTTGAGTGCACCTTTGAATGAAAATTGGGTGGGTTTGTTTTGAGTTTCTATCAGTGTTACTGATTTTTAATTAGTTGCATGGGCTTGGTCACATGCTAAGTATGCTTGTTTGATTGCTTTGGTCTCTTAGTTCCAGAATGGGATATAGGAGGTTATTAATGGAATCTCGAATCAACTCATAGTATGGATATAGGAAACAGGATAGTATAGAGAGAAAAAAATGGGTAACTAGATATTTTCTATGAAAAGCTCAAATTGACTTAATGTAGGAAGAGTGAGCCATTAATTTCCATAAGAAATCTTAGGTTAAATGCAGGGTCAAAGAAAATGTGGGGTCTTCCTCCAAGCCAAGTTTGAGGTCAGTAGCAAGTTGAGATTGTAGCATTTTTTTTCAGTTTATGTATGTGGACATAAGCAGAAGCAGGACTTACATTTGACTCAAGGGAAATGGTAAAGAAATGAAATGAACAACCCTGGCTGGGTAGCTCAGTTGGTTAGATTGTATCATCTCGATACACCAGGGTTTTGAGTTCATTCTCTCTCTCTCTCTCCCCACCCCCCCCTTCCTCTCCCTCTCTGTTTCTCCCTTCCTTCCTCCCTCTCTCATATTAATAATTTAAAAAAATGAAATGACCAGAAAGACCATAACAGTCTATAAAACAGAAAAAAGAAAAAAAGATCTTTTTTATCATTGTTGCCCTCTATCCTCTATTTTGCTTAAAGGGTTATAAGGACTGATTAACAGTTGCACAAGCAACATTGGTCTGGTCATTTTGAATGCTTGAAGTTCTTATACACATGATTTTTTAGCTAGACTCTTTGATAGAGCTATTAAAAGATAGTATTGACTGACAATAAGATGGCAGCGTAGGTAAACGCCTGTAGTCTCCACCTCCCACAACCACATCAAAATTACAACTAAAATACAGAATAACCATCATCCAGAACCACTGGAAAACTTGTTGAATGGAAGTTCTACGACTAGAGAAGTAAAGAAGAAAGCACACTGAGACTGATAGGAGGTGCAGAGGCACGGAATGGGCTGGTGCGGCACCCACATGTGCCACTTCTTTAATCTGTGGAGGCCGCCCAGAAGATCAAGGGATCCCAGCCCCACACCAGACCCACAGCCCAGGGTCCCAGAGCTGGGAAAAGAAATCCCTATGGGCAGTAAGAACTACAGCTGTAAAAACCAGTGTGGATTGGGGCTCAGTGACACAGAGGCTGCTGGAGACCCAGCTGTTCCTCTTAAAAGTCCAGCACCACGAACTGAATTTACAAGGTCCCGCTTCCTCTGAGCTCTAGCACCAGAGTGAGGCTTTGAGGGACACAGACATATACGAGGAAGAACTGGATGGTCTTGCATGGGGCAGGAACTCGAGGGTGGCTTTCTTCCAGATGGAGGTGCTCACAGGGATCATTGTTCCTATGCTGGGACCTCCCCTGTCCCAGGGCTGACTGGCAGCCATTTTTGTTTGCTCCACCCTGGTGATTCACTAAGACCCCGCCTCATCCAATTTACAACCCCACCCAAGCTGTGTGCAGCGGCTATGAATGGCCTGTTCTTGCTCAGGCTAAAATCTCTCAAATAAACTGCAGCTGGGTCAAGGAGCCCCAAATCTATCAATAAAAGGCCCAAGACCTGGCACCAGCACCGGTCTGCCTTGCTTCATAGCTGGGCCTCATCTGGGCAGTTCCAAACTGGATACAAAGGAGGAATCTGCAAATCTCTCTGTATCTCCTGCTGGGTGGCCCCAGACAATGACTGACTTTGCACCTCCCTGGAGACCCAAGGGCCAGTGTACTATCCAGTGGTCAGTGTGAGACCATACCAGATTACAACTCTACACATCCATAAGTGACACACTCAAGGGGAAGACTCAGTGAGCACCAAAGCCCCATTGAAGCAAGTCCTGCTCCATTGAAGCAAGTCTCCTGCACAGCAGCTCTCCCACTGTAGTCGCAGCTAGTCTTCATAGCCAATTGGCCTGGAGGTCAATTCCTACCAGTGACAACAACAGCAGTCAAGTCTCAACCACAACAAGACTGTGCTCACAGCCCACAAAGGGGTGCACCTACAGCTCCCAGCTCAGGTGACTGGGGAGGCTGAGCCACTGGGCCCTATAGAGCACCTACTATACAAAGCCACTTTACCAACTCAAGGAGACTTAGCAGCTCTACCCAATACATAGAAACAAACACAGGGAAGCAGCCAAAATGCAGAGACAAAGAAACAAATGAGAGAAATGGAAGAAAGCAAACTATTGAATATGGAGTTTAAAACCACAGTTACAAGGTTACTCAAGAGTCTTCTAGAAATCTCCAGAAGAATGGAAAAGGACCAATCAGAAATTAAGCATACACTGACTGAAATAAAGAATGATATACAGGGATTCAGCTGTAGAGTAGAGGATTCTGAGAATCAAATCAACGATTTGAAATATGAGGAAGCAAGAAACACCCATCCAGAAGAGCAAAAGAAAAAAGAATCCAAAAATATGAAGATAGTGTAAGGAGCCTCTGGGACAACTTCAAGT